GTAGTAACTCTTCACCAAGTGACTTTGAGTTACTACATCGATGTAGTAACTTCGTCATAAAAGAGCGTTTATACGGCATCTAACATCAGTAGTTATAACATCGATGTTATAACTCCGACTTAAATCGGGACGTGTAAACGTAGTCATAGAAGATGACTTTGGTCCGTTATGCGCATGCGTTAAATCGTTGCGCATGCGTTATTGTAATCTCGTTTTGGCCGCGCATGCGTTATTGTAATCTCGTTTTGGCCGCGCATGCGTATTTCGAGGAAAAGTCATAGAACGAGACAGAATTCTAGTTTCTTCTGTCTCACTTCTTGGCTTCACTTGTGCCGATCCGTTTCCCCTTCCATGTCTATAAGTTCTATGGCTGGAAAGCACGGCTTATTTCATGCGGCCTCGGCGTGTTTCGAGGGAGAGACTCTCGACTCCGATACCTCACGATATCTCGCCTCGCGCGGTACAGACATGGCGCGGCCAATCGGCGCGCGCTACGTGCCCGCCGCCGAGTTCGACTGATTTCTCTCTTCGTTTCTCATCACGCGTTGCGCGGGTTGCGCCGCCGGTCGCACGAGTCTCTCGCCTGTTTCTCTCCGTATGCCGATCGCGCGCGACCTGGTGATTTGGAGATTAGATTTTGTCGCCGTTTTCGAAAGCTCGCCGGGGTCTCCAGGGGTCTCCGAGGAAACCACGGTGGCTGACGCGATCGCGGAAGCGCGAATCGAGGTGCGGACGAAGTCGGGACGCGTTCGGAGGTACGTTCTTTTAAGTTAGAGACTCTGCTTTACCTACCGAGCCCAAACGGCGGCGGTACGAATTGCCACGTAATTGTTTTTCATTTAATTGGTGATTTATGAGCAAATTTATTCGGAAGCTCGTCAAAATGATATTGGTTGCGAGGCCACGGACGTGCGAATTGTCTTGCGTTCCGCTGAAGCGGAATAAATTATCCAGACTCTTCGCGTATCTCTCCTATTTTGTACAATTTTGGTAAAATTTCAGATCGCTCGAGACCAGATTCAACATAAGATCAAACTTAGAGTGCGAATACCACTTGTGTGTGAATTTCTTTTAAATAAAACTTGCTCCTAATCTCATTATTCTTTTTACAGCATTAAACGGCTGCTCGGAATCTCGTTTGCTTGCGTACGCAACAAGAAACGACAAGGTGCATCTTCAGCGAAACCTGAAAAGTGGCCTTACTTTACATATTAGTAGGAAAAAACAATGGATACCTGAGATTCACTCGCGAAGGACTCGCATAGGGATGTGACACTTTGGTCTGTCAGCATTTTAGAACTGATTGTCCCATCAAACGGTGCGATTGCATCATATTTTACATCATGATTCGCAGCCAAAGACGGCAGCAGGGCCTGCAGAGCGGGATTTTCTTGCTGTGCATGCAGGTCCTGAACTTTGGACTCGACAGGATACCACCTGCCACTCTAATTGGAGTCATTGCGCAGGTAACTTTCGCCGTGAAAATTTCATACAATTTTATCTCAACAATCCACCTGCGTTATTCTATATTTTGTAATCCAGTTTGCTCAGTTTTCGTCACAAAAATTCCCTCTTCTACAATCTCTCTTTGGAGCGCAAAGTGATGCATATTCGTTCTCTTTCTAGGCTCTACTGTACGTTGGACTGATACAGGTGCCGTGGAACGCAGAGGACGTGTGCATCTCGGCCGTGAAAGTAATCAAGTACAAGAACTGGCGGTCGTTCTTCCTCTCGAACTTCGAGCATGGATCCGACATGCACCTGTACTACAACATGATCTCCTTTATTCTAAAGGGCGCATACTTGGAGCCTCTTTACGGCACGACGAACTTCGTACTCTTGCTCGTTACATTGTCTATCGGGTGTAGCGCCATGTATGTGTCCCTAGGATACGTATTGATGCAGTTAACGGGGGACTACGGATACTTCACCGCGTGCGCTATCGGCTTTTCCGCCACGTTGTTCGCGCTGAAGGTGATCGCGCTGTGCGAAGAGCGCGACAAGCTGCAGAATATCAGCGGGTTTATAGTGCCGAGTAAATTAGCCGTGTGGCTCGAGCTGTTGCTGATACACCTGTTGGTCCCAAATTCTTCCTTCATTGGTCATCTGGGTGGTATTTTGGTTGGATGCTTATATTCTTACACATTCGTTGGGGAAACAATCGACAATTTGATACACGCGGTAACTGGCACACCTATCATACACGAAGAACAATTCTATAGAAGACGAAACCGGCGGTTTACTTGACATTCTGTAATTCTCATCGATCCAACATATTTGCGGCCCTGTTCTAGTTTAATAAGTGTATATATCGAGAATCGAATCGTTTTATATGAAAAGTAATTCAATGAAGCACAACTTGACCACTAATTCGTAAGATTGTGATCCCAAATAATAATTTATAAGTAAATATATTAATATATAATGAATGCGAGTGTTTTATACAGACAAATTATGATTACTTCTAATTTATTACAATTTATTTAAAATAAATCCTACGCGTACGTTCTTTGGCCAGTAAATCCCATCCCTGAGATATTGACACGTCATCTTATACGACATGCATATCACGGCAAATCATTTCTCAATAATTTGTCCGTTTTTAGTAAATTTATTCGTAAAATTTTTACTCTATCATACAAATTTTATCAAACATTTTATACAACGATATTTTTAATTTGCAAATACAAAGATCACTTTGATGAAAAGAAGAGATAACAAGATCTTCAACCATTTTTTAACGTTTTATTACACACGCATGTATCTCTTTAAGAACTTTACCTTTTAAACTGTCTGTAAAATCTTGCGCAATTTATACAGTGTAACATTCGGCATGTTAGAAGAACACTGTGCTGTCGTGAATGAACTCGCTGAAAAGAAACATGGAGAATAAGAAATATTCTTATCGGCGCGAGTAAAAAACCATATGCCCGTAGAAACTTACAAATTGATTTATCGTCGACTGGATATGGTATGCCATAGAATATAAAATATGCGCACATTTTGGTCAGAGTTGTGGTGTCAGCCTGTACTATTCCGTCTGTAAGATATTCTTTAAATACAGATTTCAAATCTGGAAAATAAGAAGAAAGTCAAATATAAAATTTACAACGAGCCATTGCAACGCGATGCGTTATACATAAATAAATACCGTGCTCCCATTTATCGAGAATGATCGCCGTTTTCTGTTTAATTGCGAGCATACTTTCTACGCTGAACAACGGATTTTCATCGTTGGTAAAGTTGCTTCGTCTCATTTGTGACGAGAGGAGCTTTATTTGCCATATCGCACAGCTGTTCGGTTGCTCCTCAATAATTTTTACACTTTTAATTATATGCAACCACAACGGTATAAGATTTACTTTATCCTTTGTAATACATTCGTACACAATTATTGCGAATATATGAAGGAGGTACTGTTCAAATTCTGGCACTTTGCATTGCACATCTGTAAATTTACGATTATTCGATACAAATGTTGTTAAAATACACAATCGTACATACAATTTTCTTGTGAAACAAATAGTTATACAATTCCACTCTTTTTCGTGCCGAAAATATTGTATAAAAAGATTATAAATATGTTAGTTATTAATTTTTTGAATGAAGGTTTCTACTAAAAAAATCAAATCGTACCGTTTTGCGATGAATACTTGATACTTTCGGAACAGACCATTCCTTTTTTAGACCACTGCAAAAAGTACGTCACCACGTTCAACACAGTCTTATCGTTTGTAAACGATGTGACATATTCCGGCCGTGCAGCCCATGCGATTGCATTTCCCGTTGTTAGAGTTTGAGCCACTAGGCTTCTAAAACCCTACAAAATACAATGAAATACTCATTAGTAATATTTGCGAAGGCATCTAATGAAATAGATATCACTTTAAGACATCTCTTTAAGTAATAATGTGTTACATGAGGATCTTCCAGATACGATAGACAACCAGCTCTCTGCTTGATGCTTAAGAAATCATGCCTTTCCAGCATGTTTTCTAGCTGCTGCCAATTGTGATATTTTAAAAACGTAATTTTCCAGTATCTTGAATCTCTCAATTCAATCTTCTTCAAACTACATAACTGTGGCAGTAAACATGGCGCCTGTAGACAGATCTCTTGGCCCTCGGCTTCCTTGTCAGTCTCGAATGTTAAATGTATTGTCGCGTAACAATACTGGCCAGTATCGATGTCTCTCGGCAAGATGATACGCGGTTCAGCTGCTAATACGTACAAGTGGCGCAACGCTTGCAAATGATACCTGAAGTAACAACATCGCTCAGTTAAAACAGTTCGTCGACTACGAGATTGAAGGGAAAATTTAAAGAGACCGGTAATAAGAGTATACGTTTGCAGACCTGTTGTCATTGCTGTGGGTTGGAAACTTTGGGAAAAGTGAAATTATAAGAGCCGCCACTGCATTCGGGCTGTTGGAAAGTGTGTACCTTCCGCCGCCCAGAAAAAGGAGACCAAGAGCCATGTGGGTTGCCAGATGAGAACCGTACGTGACTACGCCGCTCGTGGGTCCTACGCGAGTGCGTATGTGTCTGCATATCCTCATAATCTGCACGTTTAGATATAGCGTTAACAAGTGACCTGTGATTAGTCGCTAAACATCGTAACTTACGTCCAAATTGCCGGTGCCCGCCATCACCACGGCGGTTGAAAGTAGAACGACGTTCAGGCACGTTTCAACGGTCGACTTGCCAGCCAATTCGGCTATAGTTTTGTGCGACAGCGCCGTGAACATCTGAGCATAATTATACAAAGTCTTGAAGGCATTCTTATTAGCAGTGCCCGCGTATCTTAGTCCCAGCGCCATACAAGCGCCCGCTATAATGTTGCAGTAAGCCTGGCTACAAGTCGGATTAAAACAGTCGCGTAAGTTTGCACGTCGGATGAGGATGGAGGACACGCGGATGCATTTTCGAGAGGACAATCGCTTACTTGATAGTCTCCAAATCCACGTTCTGCGTGACTTCTGGCGTAGGCTTTTGCAGCCTGTACTTGTAAACAATATTCGGCACGTGACTAGAGACCCACGACTTGGTCGGCTCGATCTCGTCCCACAAAATCAGCGACTTGGTGAGCACTCTTAGCAGCAAGAAGTCTGGCCTCACAAACTCCAATAGATACTGCGTATCGGGTGGTTGCATCCATTCGGCCACTGCATGATTCCCGGTGTTAAAGTACATTAGTCCTAGGGCTATCGTTGCGCCTGGACTCGTTACATCAATGTTTATCGAGTCTCCTTCGCGTATCTGATAACTGCAAGCAAAGAGACCAATTATAAATTGTTCGCGAGGAAAATTTTTCTACTTTATGGATTCCATTTCATCGATATGCAAGGAAGACTCTAATTCGCTTCGATTTTAGATCCTCCGAAAGAATTTCTGTTAATTCAGAATGTTTCGAATCGCTTGGATCTTTCAACCATTACATATAAATTGATCGTACCTTGGAGACTTGTATTTATCTTTCTGTGCGCCAGAAAAAGGTCTTATGTGCCCACCGACCATGTAATAGTGCAAAGTATCGGGTATGCTCGCAGGTACATCCGTTCCGCCACCAGAGCCAAGTACGACCAGACCTAATGCTAGTCCCGCTGCCAGAGAATATGACTCGCGGTCCACGCAGTTCTTCATTTCAGGTCCTGGCGGCCTACCTGTAAACAAATTTACATGTCAGCATACGCGTTAATGAGACGCATCTTGCGTGTTGACGGATCATTACCGATTTCAGACAACAAGGCATGCGAGATATGTCTGTGCGCAGTTCCCTGATACACGAGGCCAACTCCCATTAGTGCCGCCACTTGTACATTCTGCTGTACGTTTAATTCGATACTCGTCGGCGGCAGAAGTGTTTCCACGTGTAACGATAATAATTTAGTCATAGACACGTTCATCGTGCCACGATGCGTCGCCGACAGGCCCAGCAAAAGTCCAACGCTAGTGGCTTCGTGACAGTCGGCCAGGTATTCGTATGTACTTAAGGGAGCCAAGTTTTTCAGATGCCCGTTCAAACCGAGAGCCATCAGAAATCCCGAATGTTCCACCCCGTATTCACCCTGCTGTTGTTTATTGTACACTATCCACGTCGAGTCGATGTTCGCAGCGTCCGGATGAATACACAGGCCCGCAGCTACGCCGTTATGAAACAGCGGCCACAGATTCATGTTTGGCGGAACGTCTATGTGAGTCAACTCGACGGTAGTCCCACGGGGCGGTGCTTTGCCTAACGAAAGCGCACGAAAACGATTAATTAGCTAGTTAACAAAATTAATTCAGGCTGCGATACGCGCAATCATTACCGGTTAGACACAATCGCGGGATGGGCAACTGCTCCGTTATCATCGGCGTCGAAGTTCTCAGTGTAAACATGCCTCTAGCTACAGGCAATGCCATTGTTCTCGTACACAACGTGAGCAGGTGTCTTTCCTGCTCCTCTATAAACTCGTGGTCGCTCACGTTTGATCTTTGAACTATCGCTATCCTCATTGGTTTCGAGGAATTGAGCAACCTTCGCACCTCCGCGACTCTGTGATCCTTACTGAATCGTAACTTTAATATCTGTCGAATAAAACGGAGCGCAAGTTGTACATTGTAAAGATCTATCTCCAACGTAGACACCAATAATTTCGGAAAGCATTTTATATGTACATAGGAGAACAAGTACCATATCATCGAATTCCATGCCGTCGTCCTGCTCATCCTTTATTCCATAATCCCTGGTGTCACCGTCAATAGACTGTAATCTCGATAATGGCTTTAAGTGCTTATCCAACACGGCTAGATCTTGGCGATCTATGAGCTCGTACGCGTGCATAGGCCAATTCGAGGGTGGACTTTCTCTACATCTGTGCATTACGTCTTTTATCATCAAGGATACCGCAGGTGGCAATGTCTCGAGGTGTTCTTTTCTCATGCCTGAAATTGAAAAAAAATCACTTTACATCTTTAGGAAAGAGATAATTTTCATCATACTCGACTGCTCGTTGCCGCGCGATCATACCCATCTCGTGATATAACAATATTATCCTATCCGTTGTGGGTTTCTCCAGTTTCTTCAGTATCTCCTTGTCAATCTTGCTCCTGCTCTCTTGAATATCAACGCGATTTCCAGCAGGTACAATTAACTTGATATACTTCTCCATTTCAATTATATCAACGCGATTTTCATTTGCTGTAAGCGCAGTCAGATACACTATATTTCTCGTTCTTGGATTAACGTGGCTTAAATACGGAAATGCAGTTACATCCGTTCCGTCCAACATGCTGTTTAACGTTTCAAATATGCCTGGTGGTTTTCGCGGCATGTAACTCGGAATTGCTATTTTCTGCAGGTCCGAGTCGCCGAGTTGGGATCTCGTGGTTTTCAGGTACGACAACGTGGGTGAATCAAGAAAGTAATGATGAGCGTACATCTCGAACTTCAGATCTATGCTCAATTGATACAACAGCTGCCCGAGCAACGGCAGACTCTCCGATATAACGCTGTTTAGCTTCAGTTCTTCGTACAACAGATGAAGAGAAAATAAAATGAGCGGAAAATGTGGAAACAGGATGGCTTGTACGTTGATTTTGCCAACGTTACTCGATTCCGCGACGCTTTGAGACGTCGCGCAAAGAAAGCTGGATATTTTGTGACTCTTCAGAACATTCGAGGCAAAAGTTTGAGAATTTTTATACTCGTTTGAATTTAACAAGTACAGCCAATCATCCGTAGATCCACAATTGCTGGTCTTCTGCTTTTTGGGTACCACCATCGGGCTGTTGCGCTCTGTAAACTGATCCTTCTCGTTGTTTCGTATCAGACGTAGTTTTTCTACATCGTATCCCAATAATGTGACTAGAACTGTAAGAAATAGTTCCCACTCTTGCGCCGGTGAAAAGTCTTGTGGGCCCGGAGCGTTTCTAGCGCCGTACCACTTAATCAACAATTGCATCGCCAGGTCTCTTTGAAGAACGCTCCGTAACGTATGTAGACATTTTGTGACTGTGAAAAGTACATGTAACCTGAACTAATTATAATACGATGTTTATATACATAACTAACTTCAATCATTTGCAATCGTGTACTTGCAATTGTAATAAGCTTACTTATATGCCAATAATATTTCTCAGGTTTCATGTACTCACCTAAAGGAGATGTACTGGAAACAGGCAACGTTATACGGAAATATTGCTTATTTCCGCACTCCATGGTTACCTCATTGCCCACAGTTTCTTTCAAAGCGAGAAAGTTCGTGTCCAGCAATGAATGTTCCAAAAGTATCGGCGGACGAGCGCAATTACCGCCTACAGGACTCAGTAAATGTAAAGCTTCTTCGAATTTAACTTCGTGCGAGGTAGCACAGCTCTGAGAGATCAAGGAGCTTCGTCTCGGAAACGGAGATCCGAGCTTGGGATTGCTGTTTGACAGAAAGTAATTGCTGCCCGTGAAATTGGAGAGCATGCCGGTTATATGCAATTTACCCACGCACGTAACTCCTGTGTACAACGATATACCGTTTGACAAATCCACAATTGCTATCATGTGCAGATTCTGAAAAATGTCAATTCTTTATGTATTATTCAATCAATCATCGTTCATATATTATGTTTCAAATAATTGCATGTCTTCCTGCGTATTTTACGTAAAGTTAAAAATACATTAAACGATGTAACGTTCTTTTATAATGTATATGCATCAATATATGCTAACCGACAAAGTGACAGCATCCTTAGCCACAATGCTCGTTACCATCCCGAAAATGATCTGTTGCTGCTTGTTAGTCTTTTCCAATCTGACCAAAGACAACTGCGAACGATTCGGAATCAAATAGCCCAAGTAATTGTGCCCGACAAGGTCCGATGTTAGGAAAACTTTAGATGCACGACCGTAAGTATCTCTAAAAAAATACAGAAAAAAGAAACAAGTAATCGAATTATCAAATTTTCCGAATATTCAACAACCATTTACGAATTTCTTCATAAAGCTTCCTGAAAGCTGCATACTTACTTCAGCATACCGACGTTTTCTGTCCACACGTGTTCAAGACAGATCTCGGGATACAATGGTTTGCTTGCAGTTGCAACATCCTTCAATCGGATGCTGTTGTAACTGGGACTGTGCGTTTGATTCAAGCCAGTTACCATAATGGTCTGATGTAATCTGTTGTGGTAGATATTCGAGTTTGTAGGTGCACCAAGCAGAGGGGACATGACCACCGAATGCGTAGGTGATTGGCAGCGAGAAAGGGTGGCCATCGAGTTTTGTGAACGTGAATGCTGTTGCTGCTGAGACGGTGATGGCCCGCCTGAATTGGTACTGTAGGAGGTCGTACGCGATCCAAACGGAGTGTTCGACAATCCTAAACTGATACCAGTGTTATTTATCTGTACGTTTGGAATTCCTGCAACGGATAACATTTTATTTATCCACATCAGTTGTTTTCTGTCCATTTTAATTAAATTGTACAATTATCATCTTCAGCGATTCAACATTTTCTACGTTACGGTATCTAAAGATTAACTGAACCCTAGTTTTTTCATTTGCATGCATACACTTTTACAAAAATATGTGGACATTTCTTTACCAAAAAGAAAGGGACTTAGAGGACCCTTGTTGATGTAGCTTTTGTTGGCGGATAAATTGCTGCCAACATTTAATGACGACATATTTGTCGAATGATTGAATAAACTTATGTTACTTCCACATACTATTTGGCATTCGTCAGCTGATGCCTTGCGAATTTTGTATACCGAATGCAAGCCCGTTTTCGTATCGTATACTACCGCAAAGGATGGTTCCGAGCTAGTGAATATAATCTGCTGGCTCGACTCGTTCATATACGACACAGTTCCTAAAACATTTAATAGTTCAATTGTACACGCAATAAAAAGTAATCGGAGCATGTAATTTTCATGCAAGTCAAACGAGTGCATGCGATACTTTGTACAGCACATGTTATGTGCATTTCTACCAATGTAGATTAACTTCAATCTCAGTTCAACTTGATTTTATCTCCTTTTAATTTTTTGTTTTGGAACGACGCGAGCTCTGTGCTAACCGAGATTAAAATTTAATTGAAGTTTAATCCACATTGATAGAAATAGACGTTAGTCTTCATGCTTAATTCCACAAAAAACTTTTTACCATGCTTAATAAGTAACGGGCAAATTTCATCTAATGGATGCATCAGCGAAAAGGCCACTGGTAAATTATTTTCGTGTTGCGGTGGCAATCTGCTGTTTTCAAACGACACATATCTGAAAATAAAATAAACTTGAGTACATTGTGATTAAAAGTTTGCCTGTGTTACATTCAACTGTAAAATATTTCAAGAACGTAGGGATATACAAATTATTACACACAATTAAAATTTTATCTTGCATTTGATTAAAACAATCATACATACCTGGAATCTGTAATCGGCACTTGAGCTTTTTCGAGTATAATTCCATATTTTGTCGGCCACACAGCAGAGACCTGTTGTCAATCAATTTAAAAATTATTATGACATTTTAATAAAAAATCTCTAAATTTTATTCTGTGATTGTAATAATCTTCGATTATCTTCGTTTCATTTTATAATTTGCTCGCAACTTATACAATGTAAAGAAACGCAATGTCATCAAATACGCCTTCACTTTGACCGCGTATTTTAGTCTATACAAAAAAAAAGAAACCTCACAGGTGTAAAATTAAGTGTGGAAACGACCTTACTGGCACTTCTTTATTCAATTATAAAGTTTAGAACGTTCCAGCCAATAATACTGGTCTTCTTCAGGTAACGAACTTACACAAGTACCCGCACATGTAAGGTTTGTCGCAATTTAAAATGTGCAATTATGCCAAGCGTTAAAGACAACGCAGTACATTGTGCTTATATAGTCACAGAGCGCATTCCGTCTTAATTTTACTTCCCAATTCTCGACTGGCGTTAATATACCTGCGGCTGGATTGCTCAACAGGTGTTTTACCTGAAACTGCAAAGCAGAAACGTAGTCTTTGCCACTTTCTGTAAAGACCTTGAGAGTATAGGAGTCCAGCAGGCAAATGCACTCTATAGATCTGTCGACGGAGCTGTCGGTCTCAGATTCTTTACTCCTGGCCAAGTGATCCGGGATACTGGTGTGAAAAGTACACCAAAGTGCATGCTTAATATCCGTCTCACAAGTGTAAGTTGCTTTGAGCACGCGAGTGGTCTGGCTGCCCTTGCAGTGGACCGCCACTTTCCCCGAGTAATACAACTCTTCCTCCCCACAAATTTCATTACTGCGTACCAGCCATGTCTCTTTCTAGAAGTCATAAGTTTCTCATTAGGCAACGCTTCAAAGACGGCACGGAGAAAAGTGAATTGTGAGAGAACACATGGGGGGAACGTAAGCCTCTGCCAAACTCAATCTCGTTCTCTGTTGCATCAGCAAAATGATATCCACGCTCGAATCGATACGCGTATAATTGTGCTTCAAAGTAGACGCCAGTGCCAACTAGAGGCGTTAACTTCCTCGCAAGTCCGTTCTCTCACCTTCGCCACAGGTTGTTTATTTCGAAATCTTACAGGAGACTTATCCGATATATTTACTTCGCTAAATCTTTTTAATAGAACATTTTCTCCACCAACCGTTCGATTATTAGACAACTGCTGACTGATCAGGGATCCAGGATGTTTTAGGATTATCTCTCGGCCACCTGGCTTGTACTCCTTGAAAAGAAAGAAAGACATCAAGCATATTACAATCAATAACTGTACCTCCCTGAGCATCCCAGCCGTGCGCAGGACAAGTAAACAACAATAAACCAGCCCTTTCTTTTAGGTGAAAGAAAAAGGATTGGCATATAGTTCGAACTTGCAACGACTCATGGTAGACCGGGCTTAAGTCAGAGACATAATTTAGGGACGTTTTTAGGCTTCAGAGCTGAAACGTGGAGGCAGTGATCAGTCTTGCCGCACCACGACTCACCCTTGGAACAAAACGTTCTCGCTCATGCCTGCTGACAGCTGCACCTCAGTGAGCGTCCTGACCGCGCGTAGGACAAGTAAACAAAACAAGTAACAAGCCATCCTTACCACCGGTTCTGAGGCGGCGATCATCCTCTCCCTGATCTCATCCAGATTTGCTGGCTGTGTTTACAAGTATCGCGAGGGAACAACACCCACACTTGACTTTTTTGGGGTCTCCTCCTATGCGGCGTCGCGCGCGAACGGTACGGGGCGGCGCGACGGAGATACTTGGGAAATACCGAAAAAATCGTGCGCGACCGCGGGGCGAACCATCTTCGAACGATACCGCTTCGGGTATGCGTATCACGCATAAGTCATGGTGGAAGGATTACATGGGATGTGTTCGAAAATGGATTTAGTTACTG